CTGGCGTGTAACTCTTTTGTCCTTATCATACTGAATACCCACAAAATCTCTCCTCCACTCAGTAAAGCACTCGGAAGTGTTGTCAGGGAGTCAATATATAGATCTTTGCATAGTCTTGACGCGTGAAGATCCGGGAAGAGAGTAGATCTTCTGCAGCCCATGCTAGCTCTAAGAGCCGATCACCTATACTTGTTGTGACAATGCAGCTCAAATCCACGTGTCAGAACCGATCGAGAAGTCGCTAATACCAAGGTAGGCAACTGCTGTTGGTTTCAAAATTAATCAGGATGAACCTGGATACTATAAGCATGACGACAGCTTCGGTAATATTCGGATGTACCAGGGCAGCAAAGAGGCAGTAGTCGGACACTTCATGTTTTTTTTAAAAAATGCGAAATAAATTGAACAGACGAGAATGGAGTGGAAACATTCAAACATATACATCATTTTTAACATGTCTTTTAAAAAATAACTGGTTGTATATATTTCAGACGCATTGTTGTAGTAGAATAGAAACATATTCTTAAAAAAATAAAATAAATGCAATGGTTCATAATTACAACTGTTCAGAATGTCTTTGAAGAAAATATACTTTAACATAAAAATAGGTTGTGTGTAGACACCAAAATAAATTATTCATAATTATCACAGTCAGCCAAGTCTTTAAGCCTGACCTCCAAATATATTCACATATATATTTATATATATATTGCTTACTGAGTACTCCAACTTCTAAATGCCTATCAAAGAAGTTAAAGCATATAATCATTTGAGCCCGGAATCAAAACAAGGTTGTATGATGTTTGATATGCGTACAAAGTTTTATTTTGGAATATTGAAATAAATCAAATTTGTTTTCTTGGTAACGATATTATCAAAACTTCTTTAAAAGCACGAGGTACCAGTACACATCTAGAGCCTTGCTGGTGTGTGTATACTCGAAATGGGACGGACAAGATCCCGTTTATATAGCACCCGTAATAAAGGGGATACATCTTTATTTCCGTATTTCCAAAGGCGTACAGTGTCATCGATATATACAAATAAAGTTAACATCATCGACAGAGCAAGAGCATACAGCTCGTGCAGGCAATGGCAATAAAATTATGAAAGGACATTTTATTAGCGAGTATAACGATATCAACCTTTCAGTTACAAACCCACTGAAAATGTACAATAAACATCTTAAATAAGATCGATGGGTAGATATAATAGGCCACCACACTTTGTATAGTATTTATGAAGGTGTTCTCATCGGCCATGCCTTGAACATCGGACCCTATTTGGTTTGAGCTGCTGCCCATTCTTGAGTTTCTTCCACCCTGCCTTATTTTACGTTATTGCCGATCTGCGGAAACGTTGGTTTAAACACATCTGTGACGTCATTCTAATAACTTAATAACTTAAGTGTTGGCTTCCATTGTCTATTGCTAGTCACCTATCAGCGCCAATCATCTGTTGGCTTCCTTTGTTAGCTTGTACCATTTAATGCAATGTACCAGCAATGACGTCACAGATGTGTTTAAACCAACGTTTCCACAGATCGGCTTTCTCAGGAAAGACTGATTTGTCATAACGTGCGACCGACATGCACTGATACAGATGTCATAGTATGACAGCTTGCGGGTAAAGCCTCGTTTTGGATCTCGACCTCGTGAATATGCATAAATCAAACGGTAAAGTAGATGACTAGGGTACGCGGGATACTAACTGCGTAGCTATACAACAGATGACTAGTAAACTATCTTACATCTTATGATGCGGGGCGGTCGGGTAGCCTGGTGGTTAAAGCGTTAGCTCGTCACACCGAAGACCCGGGTTCCCTTCCCTACATGGGTACAATGTGTGAAGCCCATTTCTGGTGTCCCCCGCTGTGATATTGCTGGAATATTGCTAACAGCGGCGTAAAACCATACTCACTCACTCACTCACTCTTATGATGCTTGGGATCGTGAAGCAGTGCTTACTGTTTGATGTACTTGTACGAAGTTAAGAGTTACCTGACTCAATACTCATCGAAGGTGAGCAAACGTATATGTGTTCCTGAATATATGCCATGATATATTCCGGTTATATATATGCAAATATTACAGCCATGCTGGCATTTCCATACGAACCCAAAAACGTGAAATAAGGCAGGGTGGAAGAAACTTAAGAATGGGCAGCAGCTCAAGCCAAATAGGGTCCGATATTAAAGACATGGCCGATGAGAACACCTTCATAAATACTATACAAAGTGTGGTGGCCTATTATATCTACCCATCGATCTTATTTAAGATGTTTATTGTACATTTTCAGTGGGTTTGTAACTGAAAGGTTGATATCGTTATACTCGCTAATAAAATGTCCTTTCATAATTTTATTGCCATTGCCTGCACGAGCTGTATGCTCTTGCTCTGTCGATGATGTTAACTTTATTTGTATATATCGATGACACTGTACGCCTTTGGAAATACGGAAATAAAGATGTATCCCCTTTATTACGGGTGCTATATAAACGGGATCTTGTCCGTCCCATTTCGAGTATACACACACCAGCAAGGCTCTAGATGTGTACTGGTACCTCGTGCTTTTAAAGAAGTTTTGATAATGTCGTTACCAAGAAAACAAATTTGATTTATTTCAATATTCCAAAATAAAACTTTGTACGCATATCAAACATCATACAACCTTGTTTTGATTCCGGGCTCAAATGATTATATGCTTTAACTTCTTTGATAGGCATTTAGAAGTTGGAGTACTCAGTAAGCAATATATATATAAATATATATGTGAATATATTTGGAGGTCAGGCTTAAAGACTTGGCTGACTGTGATAATTATGAATAATTTATTTTGGTGTCTACACACAACCTATTTTTATGTTAAAGTACATTTTCGTCAAAGACATTCTGAACAGTTGTAGTTATGAACTATTGCATTTATTTTATTTTTTCGGATTTTTAAGAATATGTTTCTAATCTACTAAAACAATGCGTCTGAAATATATACAACCCTTTTTTAAAAGACATGTTAAAAATGATGTATATGTTTGAATGTTTCCACTCCATTCTCGTCTGTTCAATTTATTTCGCATTTTTTAAAAAAAACATGAAGTGTCCGACTACTGCCTCTTTGCTGCCCTTGTACATCCGAATATTACCGAAGCTGTCGTCGTGCTTATAGTATCCAGGTTCATCCTGATTAATTTTGAAACCAACAGCAGTTGCCTACCTTGGTATTAGCGACTTCTCGATCGGTTCTGACACGTGGATTTGAGCTGCATTGTCACAACAAGTATAGGTGATCGGCTCTTAGAGCTAGCATGGGCTGCAGAAGATCTACTCTCTTCCCGGATCTTCACGCGTCAAGACTATGCAAAGATCTATATATTGACTCCCTGACAACACTTCCGAGTGCTTTACTGAGCGGAGGAGAGATTTTGTGGGTATTCAGGATGATAAGGACAAAAGAGTTACACGCCAGGAGATGGGGAGCCGACAGAAGCCGCGCGTTCTGATTGGTTTGAGAAAGTCCCGTCGGGATTACGTGACTCTAAAGATAGCTCGCCAACCGAGAACACCTGGAAGCCCCACAGCGTACAGAACAAAGCATTCCGTCTCTCAACAAGCTGTCGAAAAACCAGGTCACGCCTCCCATATCTCGTGTGTTAACACATATACCGATACGGAATATGGTCTCTGTCACTGTATTGCCCGTCCTATCGCCCATTTCTGTCGGGTATATACAGTGATAACGTGAAGACATATTTTTAAACAGTGTGTGTGTATGTCTGTCTGTGTCTGTGTGTGTTCAACTATCACATGCGACAGTAAATCAGTCATCTCGGACCATATCAGACTGAAATTTAGTCGCAGAAATAAAGTTATAATCTTCAAAAAAATATATCAACAAAATAAATATAAAATAAATCCAAAAGGAGTGCCGAACAATTCATAATTTCACAATGTGTACTGAACATTTGTTTGGTTAATGTGGGTATACTACATGTTTACAAGGGCCAGCACGTTTCAAAATGCAGATATTAAAGCAAATGAAAGCATGGCTGAAACTGCTGGTCACGACCATTAAATGAACACACAATGATCGTGCATTAAAAAAAATAGTCTTATAAGAATTGATAAACTGGTGTCTACCAAATTGTGGTTTATGGACACCATACACACTCTTTTGTTGCTTTGACTGGACTGTTTGCTGTCTCTTTTTGTCTCCTTTTAAAAGAAGTCTTCTCATATCAATGTGTCTTGTTTGCACTTCCAGGGCAATAAATGCAATGTCTCACATGAACAAAGACAAGAAAAAAACCCAAGCATTTCAGAACTCTAAATACTAGTTTACATGTTGAATGCCTCAATACACTACTTCTGGATTGAATGTACTGCTAATATTTATAAACTGACATTATTTTTCTGCTAATAGATATCTATAATAAAATATTTATGAAATAAATGCCAAGTTCATGATCATTTGAACATACATACCCCCTGTTTGATTTTTGTAGAAAGGGGTGTGTGTGTATAAAGTTTAATGAAACAGATTAACTGAACTGTAAATATTGATAAAACTTTAGAATTAAACCAGGGAAGGATGTAGATAATGTAATAATAAAGTGTTTTATGATTTGGGCATTGCCCATTATGCAGGGAATACGTTAAGTTTAGAACTTGTAACCAAAATCTACCTATTGAAACTGGGAGATGGGGAAAAAATAGTTTTAACCGAAAGGAACGCACTTTTTAAATTATCTGACATAGGTGATAAATTCCATTATTTGTTATTTGTCCATCTTTAGAGCACGTAGGAAACCAAGTTTCACACAGATTCTACGACATCAAACCTGATATGCATGTCATCGTATCCCAATTGCGTGAATCGATGCTCATGACGCCCTTCACTGGATTGTCTGGTCCAGACTCGATTATTTACAAACCGCCGACATAGCTTGAACAGCGTGGTGTAAATAACAAACAAATATTAATTTCATAGTGTTTATGTTTCAGAACAGACCATCAGTTTAACAACACTGTTACTTGCATCATGGCATCTGACATCATCACTGAAATAGCGGAAGCACCGAGGGCTCATCTGATTTATATGAACGAAGATGAAGATGACAGGGATCTCCAAACACTTAGAAAAGCGCTGGTACAACAAAAGATTAGATATACGGATCAAAGCCACGTGTCTTCTGGTGGCCTGGAGTTGTCAGGCAATGAGCGCTTGATGGAATCTGCTATTTGGGTTGTCATATTTTACTCTGACAACTTAACAGAATCTGCTTATGGGCGTCTATTGGAAGATGTGTCCTTGCATCATACAGCAGGAATGAGGAATATCATATTTATTGTACCAGCATTTGGTTCGGCCAGTTTTCCAGCACGGCTACGGGGGTTTTCAGTTATTGACATCGGGACTGATGATGACTGGGTCTGTGACTTTGTAACACAGGTTGAAGAGGAGCCATTAGCTAACAACGAAGACATTGAGAAGAAACGGATCATAGCTTCCATTCAGAGAATTTCAGCAAATAATAGATTTCTGAATGTCATGTTCAAATGTGATTCTATCAAGAAACATGGTAGCCAGAAACCATGTTTGTGTATCGTGTCTGCCTTTCTGGTACTGGAATATTACTGCTTAGTGTTCTGTCTTTTCTTTTGGATCCATCAGTGTTTGTTTGACAATAAGTTATTCAGTGACTTGTTTATAATTTATGTTTTTGCAATTGTAATAAACATATTTGCACTGAGGCCTTTCAGGGCAGTAAAGCGAATTGATACTTTGATTTTCATATCCTACAGCTTTTTAATAAGGCTCGTGTTAATGTGGTGGTTTCTTATGCGTCTCTGGAACTCAGCTCCTGGCTATTTGTTTATTTGTGTTGGAATGAGTGCAACAATTTGTATCCATTACCCGTATATTCTGTACTGTGTATTCGTAGATGGTCTTTGGATTACAAGTGTAGGTCCAAATTACCGTCTCCTAGGGACACAATTACATTACATCTTTGTTTGCTATCTGTTTCTTTTTGACGGTTTCTTTATAATTGTGTTATTGTATGAAGCTCTAAAATCTGTTGAAATTTTTTTCAGTGTGTTGATTATATTGATATTTTTCACGCAGTACGATTATTTCATTTTGACAAGACGCATACGTTCTGAAACTGTATACTTGAGGAAATGTTTTAAGCCCACTTTTATAATAGATTTAATGCTCACGGTGCCTGTTTTATTAAATATGGGATATGTGCTACTATATCATTTGTATTTGTCCAACCAATAGAGCATCCCAACATTACAAATGGTGGATGTCGACAGGTTTGCTCTAGTGTGGACGTCAGTTTTAAGGAAACGCATCCCAAGTAGGAGTTTATCAAACAGTAAGCACTGCTTCACGATCCCAAGCATCATAAGAGTGAGTGAGTGAGTGAGTGAGTATGGTTTTACGCCGCTGTTAGCAATATTCCAGCAATATCACAGCGGGGGACACCAGAAATGGGCTTCACACATTGTACCCATGTAGGGAAGGGAACCCGGGTCTTCGGTGTGACGAGCTAACGCTTTAACCACTAGGCTACCCGACCGCCCCGCATCATAAGATGTAAGATAGTTTACAAAAAGAAACATACCAATACCAAAAGATACTCATTTACTACTAGCTACTCAAATCTACCAAATATGGAAATGATCCAAGACATGTGGCAGTCAGGATATTTTTGCAGTTATCGAAAACGTTTTGTCTCTTCTATTTACAAGAAAAGAGAGTTAGATAAGGTATGCGTTGATAGGGAGTGTTGATTTCTACCTTTATCCGGACTGTGAAAATAGAGTATTATTCAATCATTGTATATGTACACGAGCGTGATGTTTGACATTGCACTTGAATTCCGAGAAGTGATAACAGAAAACTATAATTTGCAATAATTGTCTTTTGTTATGATAACAGTTTGTGTAAAGGTTTTAATCGTATTGTGTTGGAAACCTCTCTGTAAGTTTGCTTCAGTCCAATTTATTTCAAGACGCTTGCAACTGGTATTCACCTGTTCGTAGTATCTATCACACTTACGTAATTTGAAATATGGTTTGTAGTTTTTACGCATAGTTACTCTGTGTCCGTATTTGTGCAAATAAAACAAACTCTAAAGGCATTTTGTCATTATGTATTTGACCTGTAACATGATTGTTTGAAAGGCACGACCAGCCTCCTAATTTAAGCGCCATGGTTCAAAGGTTAGAGAATGACCTTCTGAATTTGTAACGTTATACCTTATATATTATGTTACTATTTTAAGTGCGCGAATGGGTTGAGTTTACACAGCTTTGAACAGGATTAAAGTCATATATGTGGAGTAAAGGCCGAGTTGTTGGGTTTACCAACTAGGGTAAACATACGAACAAGGGTTTGGTACTGACAGACCCAGTTTTAGAGATGTCACAAATGCAGAAAACATTATCTCAGCGTTCCTGTGGTTCACTAATGTGTAACTACCCTACGTGTGATACTCTGCATTTATTGGGTGTTCATCCGCTGATTCGCTGTATCTAAGTGTTTGTTTGGAGTTTAACGCCACACTCAGCACTATTCCAGTGGTCTGTAAATAATCGAGTCTGGACCAGACAAGTCTGTGATTGACATCATGAGCATCGATCCACGCAATTGGGATACGATGACATGCATCAAATAAAGTCAGCGAGCCTCACCACCCGTTACTGTTATCATAACCTTTTGCAAATTAACGCAATTTTGTCATACAAATATGTGATAAATCATGTCTAAATGTACTTTCATGTAGCTATTGAATCGCTGAAATGTGAAGTGAAAATGTCAAAAGCTAAAATGGAAATGTCAAAAACAAAAACGGAAATATCAAAAACTAAATTGAAAATCAGAAAAACTATTTCCACCGCGGTGATATATATTATCACAGTGGTGGAAATATTATCACCGCGGTGGAAATAGTTTTCTGTATTTTCATTTTAGTTTTTGGCATTTTCGCTTCACTTTTCAGCGATTCAGTATCTTCTTTGTGCACGATTTATCACATATTTGTATGACGATTCGTGTTTATTTGCAAACGGTTACGACATCAGTAAGTGAAATATCAAAATATTGAAAAACAGACTCCATGTCCCTTATGGGCCACTGTAGTATACTATATTACTAAAATTTCAAGTCAAGATGCGGATGTACCAATTCTTTGTGGAAACGAAAAAGGATGTTGTGACATCGAGGAATTTAACATCGTTGTAGAAGTAAATCGTCACAAGTTGTCTCCCTTCGACCACAACCACGTTCACAGTTCCCCCAGTCCAAACACGATAATCATAGATTATATACTGCTGTAAAGAATAACACAATCCCTGAACTGGATACTAGCGTTATTCAAGAGGTTATTATTTACAGTTTTTGTGTATCAACGTCGAAAATAGTTGCAACTTATCACCCGCACTATTCATGTCAGTATAACTTCACCCTTGACAAAATACGTGCCCCGATGCTGTTACTGTCTGAAACTTAACACTGTGAGTGGGTTTGTCAGGTACATGTAATCTTACCATGTTTATCCTTTACAAATGTTAATGTACGAGTAGACCGTGTAACTGTTTCTGTGTACTGAGAGAATGGATTGTCGGGGGAGGGGCAGAGAGGGGAAGTCAGGTCCCCACTATCCCTTGTCTCTTGTATCTCTTTCTCTCGCCTCTCTTCCTCTCCCGCCCTCCCTATTCTCTTCCCTTCTCGCTCTCTTGTATCACTCTCTCTTGTATCTCTTCCCCTCTCCCTCCTCCCCTCTCTTCCTCCCTCTCTCGTTTTCTTCCTCCTCCCTCCCTCTCTCCATCCACTCTCTCTCCCTCCCTACCTCTCTACCCGTCTCTCTATATATCACTCTCTCTTGTGTCTTGTATCTCCCCTCTCTTTCTTTTTCTCCCTCCCTCTCCCTCCCTCCACCCACTCTCTCTCTCCCTCCTGTCTCCCCCTCATCTCGGTCTCTCTCCGTCCGTTCTCTCTCTCTCTCTCTCTTTTATCCCCCCCCCCCCCCTCCCCCTCTCCCTCCCTTTCTGCCTCCCTCCATCCACCCTCTCTCTGCCTCTCCCTCTCTCTCATATGTATATCCAGGTCACAGAGCCTGAGCAAGACTTAATTCACCCCTTGTAACAAATATAGGTTTCTGAGGACTGAGGAATCGCCACGGGCCTATGATTCACGTTCTATGCATACTGTAACGATGCAGTAGTAAGTCTTTGCTTTTTTATTCCAACAACCCCTTCAACGTGTATTTGTATTACCAAGACGCCGAATTATTTTATCAAGGTTTATGCAGGAACGTGTTTCTAAGTCTTCGATAGTTAATGTCAAAACTTACCTGTCTCTAACGTGTCAACACTGTTTAATTACCTGTTGTGGCAAATTGTGTTTTGTGTAATGCTTCATATTTTAAATCAAAGAAAACAATATTATCACCTGAATACATAAGAGAATGAAAAGTGTAATTAAATGTGTCCTTAGTATCACCCGAGAGGTCCTTGTTATAGATCATGTCTACCTCACTTTCGTGGTACCGGAATGAATCAAATATCCATGTATTATGTATAACCTCAGCTTACACACATTTTATACACACATGTGAATGTTAGTTGACAAGTTTTCAGGTATGACAATGATACTGGCAACATGCTTTTGTAATGTTGAATAAAAAAGCCATTGGACATGTATCTCCGATCTTGTGTGATTGTTTTGTTCAACAATGAAAGTAACTCTATCATCGCATGATATCTTTGACCGCTTCCATGGTCTACTCGATAGAGCGTCAGTGGATAGAGCGAAGGTTGGGGGTTCCATTACCGGCCACGTCATACCAAAAGACCTCATAAGATGGTACTTGTTGTTACCCTGCCTAGATAACGACATTTACGGGGTAAAACAAGAGCTGGTCGGCTTGGAGTCGGTACACTGTGTCTCAGTGGGGTATCCATGTTAAACTGTGGCATGGTACCTCAGTGGGTTAGCGCTATAAACCGACACTTGTACAAGAGGACACACACACCATCGCATGTTCATGCACGTCGCTATGTAAGTGCAAGAGTCTTGAACCGGACGTTAAACCCCATTTCACATCATTTCATATACTATCTTGACCTGACTATCTGTTCAGTACCCAGACGAACGCTTAGTCTCTGAATGAGGCCAGTGAGGTGGGGAAAATTAGGACCTGTTTTAATTTTGCTCATAGCATTAGAGAATAGGCTGAGCGAAAGGGAAAATATTATGGTTCAGGAACTGTGACACAGACTATTCAGCACCACATGGTTTGTCCGGGTTGTAAATGAGTAATTAATATGCACATCTGGTATTAGTTAGAACATATGTATTTCCAGGATGAAACCAGGAATAACACTCCCTGAGCGCTTACAGCTTAGTTTGTATTACGGGCTGACCAATGAATGCAGGAACAAAGGCCAAAGTGAGCACATAGCCAATGATATTAATTTTTTTGTGAGAGTGAGTATGGTGTTATGCCACTTTATGAGCAATATTCCAACAATATTATGATGGGTGACACCAAGCAATGGGCTTCACACATTGTACCGATGTGGTGAATCGAACGCTTCAACCACTAGGCTAGAACAAACTGGGAATATGAAGATGAAATGTAAGGATACCATCATACCAGGACTGAATGTTTTTCATTTAATACGCTGAACATCTCAGATGAAATATATATGAACTTGCCAAATGTTTTCACCAAAAGTACATGCCCATAGATTTCAACTTTAAGGGGGTATTTTCAACTAAAATAACACAGAATATTACTACAGCTAACTGTTATGCCAAGGCTAAAATTATTTACTAGAAATAAGACATCTTGAAAAATTGCATCCGGATACCTGCCGGATACCTTCAGCAATGTTCAGTTTTCTTGGTTAGTTTCCAATATATTTTTAGGTGTTTCACACTTAATTGAACAAAGTGCACCCCCCAAATTGTGACATGTTTTTGGAAACTCAGAAGGAGGTATCCGGTGGGGTATCCAGTGCCGGATCCTTGGACACCGAGATTGAGGTATCCGGTGCCGGATACCCGGATTCCAGGTGGCATTCTTTCCGGTGAGGTGTACATGCCGGATACCACGGATCTGGTACCCGGCAAGGTATCTGCCACCGGATACCCGGACGCGTTTTGGGTAAGTGTCCGGATACCGGAAACTGCATTTGTGTTGCTGTGAGAGGGTGCAACATTCCTTAACATGCCAGTATCAAGTAAGAATATGCCTTGGTCATATATAAACATTATTTGTGCTGCTTTTGGCAACAATTATGAACATTTACAAGCCGAACCTTTACACCACATTCCGCTGATGAGTCGTGTACGTATGTCAAATGTCACGTACAAGCGATGTTACC